GGGAGACACAGTGAGCAGAGGGAAGGGTTTGGCCAGGCTCAGGCTGACAGCATTTAACAACCAGGTGTGGAGAGCAGCCCAGCTGGGAATGCACCTGCACTGCTGAACTGCCATGCACAGAATCATGACATGGGCTGAGGGAGGGAAGGAGGGACAGTGATACCAGCCAGGGAAAGCATTGGATGCTTTGGATACTGCTCACAGCCCCGAGGAGCAGCTCAGAGCTGCCCCAAGGCCATCAGGCTGTGATGCCCAAAAAGTCTGACACAAGGATGAGCTTTGCCAAAGTGCCTGTTTCTAGTGCTGCTGAGTGCAATGCTGACTGCTGTATTTACAATTTATCTTCCACATATCCCAGCAAAAGGGTTAATTCACCTTCTTTGCTGCACACCCAGAACTTTAAGATCCCTCCTTGTGCTTTAAAATCATCTATGTACCTCCTCAGAAAAAACATCCTGCAGGACCCAATATGACAGAGAAGCCATCAGCATTATTTTAAATCTTTACTGATTACAAAACAAAGCAGATGGCAAATCAAGTCATGAACTCTGCATCTGCCATGCTTAATGAACAGTTTAATTACCTAGTCCCATTTCTGATGCATTTTTACCATTCTCAGCTCTGGGAGTCACTAATACACTTCACACTGACTGATATCTCCAGGAACATGTGGTATCAGCAGTCAGCTGGAGTTGGTTAATCAATACTTGTTTAATCTCTAACTTTTATGGTGATGGCCTAAATTATGTCTCAATAGAAACAGATTTCCTATCATATCACATGATCTGGTTGAGAGCTCAGGAAACAAAAGGGAATTTTTCAGTCTCTTCTCTGGGCAGCAGAGTACCCAAAGGCAGATAAGTGCACAGACAGGAAATAAACACAGTGAAACAACAACATCCAACACAAGCAGCTTGGTTCAGTCATTGTGTTGTGCCTTAGATGAGAGCAAGGGCTGCAATCATGGCAGTGTGCACTCATAAAGCCCTCAATTTCAGGAACAAATTAGACTAATTTAGAATAAGTTACAAAAAGTAACTGAAATTGGGCTTCCTATTTTGAGTTTTGAGCTTCCTGCAAAGGATCACAGCCTGGCTGCAAGAAGCAGGGCACTTCATCTCAGGTGAAAGCTGCAGTGCCATGGGCTGATCCCATGCACTCCAGAGCTCCTTGCAGAAGCTCCTCCTGGGCACAGAAGGAATCACTGCTCTCAGGAGTCACTGAACTGAACATGGGCAGGGGAAGATGCTCCAGGTCTGAACCCTGGCAGCAGACAAGTAAGAAACTCAGTAAGGGCTGATCACAGCCGGGTAAAATCACTGAGGGACAGGAGCAGATGATGGCCAATCCCTGGACCTCCACATCAGAGGGCTTTGGGAGCTTTTGAGTGAGTCTTTATTGCTGTTCTCCAGCAACACTTCTGCTGCACAAGACCCAGCTGTGCCCTCTGGAAGCTGCTCTCCTGAAATAAATAACCAGAGCTGGCTTTCCATGAAATACTGACTCAATCAGCTACTTACACTCAGATAAGGATTTTCAGAAAGGGTTTTTCATTTTGGGAGGCCTCTATGTCATATAAAATTTCCTAAGATTTCAATTTTAGCCATTCAGTAGCAGAATTGTCTGTTTTTAACAAGCCCACTTCATAAACAAAGACCAGGAGTTGTCTTTCTTTGAGAGAAACTCTCAAAAGCTTAAGGACAACACAAAAGTCAAATACAAAAATCTGTGAGTAAACATGGCATTCAAAGCAAATGCAGCAGTAAATCAAACAGGCAAAAGGGCAGAGGTGGATTAGGTGTTTCCCCAGCATTTCAGGTATCTCCCAGGACTGCTGTATCACAACTACCTCAGGTACCAAAGCAAAGATGAAAGATTTTCCCAAAACTCTGAGCTAAGGGACAGCAAAAAGCATGACAGACAGCAAAGCCAGCCAGGCAGATCTCTGAGAAAGAGAGTGAATCCAACCCTTCAAACATCAATTTCTGTTTCATCACCTTAAGTGAAGGGAGTGACACTTCAGGAGAAACCTCCCAGCCATCAATGTCCAGAGCCTCGGTGGGGTCCTAATCCAGCCTCATGTTTCACTGAATACATGTAAATCTGCAAACTTCAGTCCTGCCCTGATTTACAAGGGCATGTGGGACAAAATGATCAACCAACATGTTCTGAAGAGCAGTTTGTGAGCAGGAATAATCAGGATGCAGGTCCTATAACCAGTGGAATCGATGGGGCTGGACCACTGCAGGAACACCCAGAGACTGGAGGATGCTGTGCCAGGGAACAGAGATTTGTAGGGATGCACTGAAGGGTCCCACACTGACAACTGTGTCACTTCCAAGCAGTTAACCAACTGGAAAGGCCCAAGCAAGATCAAGAAAGCCCAAAAGAAGCAAATGAGGCAAGGAAGGAAGCAATGGACAGAGAGGTTAAATGCACTGGGATGGAAATACAAGAGCAGCCAAGACAGACAGAGACTGTGGCAAGTGACAGCTGAGCATGACTGACAAGTGAGACTGGCAGTCTGTAAAAGCCACAAAATATTGCTTCAATCTTGGGGAAAAAAATCAGTAGCCATAGCAGTGAGGAGGAGTCAGACTGGCAAAGCAAATGCCCCCTGAAGAGAGCACATTTGCCACTGAATTATTTGGTCCTGCTGTTACCAAAAAAAAACAACTTACTGTTTTCTAGTCATATTTTAAAACATATTCTAGGCCTGAGACTTCCAGGTTCCAACCTCAGCCCAAAGAAAGGAAAACTGTTACAGCATTAAAATTAAACTTGCACTGTTGAACACCTCTGATGCCTTCCAGGCCCTGTTTGCTCAGCACACAGGAACTGATTCACTGCCCTAGTAGAGGGTCAAACATGCACAAATGCAGAAGTCATACTATCAAAAGCAATAGCATTTCAATCATATATATAATACTCTCCCCCAAATTAGATTTTCACAGTCCTATTTAACAAGACAAAGATTGAATAGAGAGAACTCATCTTTTCCATTCTCAAATTACATAAAAGCACACCACAGTACTGATGCCACTAATTAGATGATTAAATACCATTCTAGGTGATATGCTTTCAATGTAAAATAATTATTTTTGACAGGAAATGTATTTGCTCAATCTCACTTTAAATCACAATATCATACTTTTTTTAATTAAATGAAATTCTTTCTTCTGATTTTGCATGAGAAGAGCAACCAGCAGGAGAAACAGGCTGAGGATAGATTGTCCAAGTACCATAATGCATGTACTGCTTCACAAAGGAACCCAGCATTCTCTGGATGGAATATAAATTTTCAGAGAACAGCAAAGTCTTTATTCCTTCAAAACAGGTCAGTTGAGGAATGACTGAGCACACTGAAAACCTGCCCTGTCAAAACACAAGTTTATTTGCCATGGTCTGATGAAGAACACTTCCAACTTTTCCTATGCTCCTCCTCAGGAGGAGCACAGCAAACAAAACAAAGGTTTGTCCTTCCATATAAATCAGGGTACAGTCCTTTGTCATCACATGACAAAGTAATGTTGTGGTTTTGTCCAGTACTTAAAGAAAAGTAATGATATTTTTGTGTTCTATGACAAAAAGTGTTTCTGCTGAGCACTGGAAATAAATTACCAAAGGGAATATTTTAGAAACCATCTGAGAAACTTCTTTCAGGGCTGAGCAGTCCAGCACAACATTAGACAGCTGAAAAGGTTATAAAAACAGGTTTTTTATAGGGCTCAGTATGCACCTGTGTCTTATCCAGCCATGGCAGTCCCAAACCAGAACATCACAGAGAGCTGCCTGCTGCTGGGGCAGGAGAGGGCTGAGAGGAGATGCCTTTTGTGTTTCCATGGAGAGAGTTTGGTCCATCCACCCTGCCTGCAGCGCCTGCCTCGGTGTGAGCCTGACAGAACTGCTGTCATTCTCCTCTTTGCACTTCTGTGACTCTCCATGGCATCAAACTCTGCAGGCAGAAGATCTGATGGAATATCCTCTTGTAAAGTGGCTGCTTCATGCTTCAAGAGCCCTGCTTACTGCACCATACATCACAGCTTCTTTGGCTCAACAATGACACGGGAATTACACAAAATTGGGTGCAGCGCAATTAAAATCGATCAAAACGCTTTCGTTGACACTGGAAATCAAAGTCTAAAGCTCAGGCACCACAGCAGCTCTTTCCTCTCCTGCCTGCCCACGTGGTGATGTGCCTGGCTCCCTCTCATGAGCTCTGACTACTGGAGTCTGACCTTCTGCACACACATAAGCTCATTTACGTGAGCAGCCTTTATAACACCAGGGAGATTGCTCAGATGGGGGAAGTTTTGCAAGGAGTATTCTTGGAAAGTGAAGTAACTCTCATTCTGGCTACAGCAAATTATTATTCCCTTTGTGGAAAGCGAGCTCACCGAATTTAATATAAAATTTTCAATGCTCTGCAGACTTCAGAATTATTGTATAGAATTTCATCATGAGAGCACACCTGATATAGGATGATGCAGACCCCTTTGATATATTCTATAGAAAGAATCTTAAAACGTATTTTCAATTTACTGGTCTAGTGCTTGCCATTACATTTGAACAGACTTCCAGCGTAAGAGGAAGGCAAATCTCTTACTCCCTGTAAATTGTTTTTCCACAGGAACAGTTGACAAGGTGCTGCCACTTCGTTCTCTTTAGGAAAGGAGGCAATGCAGCCAAAGCCATTATAAATTCCCTCCAGTGGCTCAAAACACTCCAGCAACAACATGATTCAGTTCTCTGCCCTCACATGGATGCCAAGGCTCAGACAAAATCACATTTCCTCAGCACAGCACGAGCCCAGCTTTAGGAGGCAATGGTACTTCCATTCCAGTGAAGCCCTAAAGACAGGCTGCATGTCTCCCACAGCACCCCTTGTGCAAAGACCCCAGAACAGTTTTGTAGCACCAGTTATAGAGGTGAACAATGAAGAAATAGGAAGGACTGCACCTGGCAGAAAGAAACAAGGACATGTGCTTTTCCAGGCTCACCTTGGTGAGGAGCACCACGCGTTTCTGCAGCCGCCTGACCAGCGCTTCCTGGTGCTCCCGTTTCTTCTTCTCATCCAAGAGCTGGCTCTGGACACACAGGATCTCCTCCTGCAGCTGCTGCCTGGCCTTCTCCAGCATCCGGGCACTAGGAGAGATGGGACAGACCTGTAACTCCTGAGTGCTGCCTCTCAGGGACATCAGGAAAGCCTCAGAGGAGAAGCCTGACCATGACTGTGCCACTCTCATCTTACAGCTGCACCACTGGAAACTGGGCAGCTGCATTCTCATTATCAGCTGCTGTCAGAAAAAGATGTGAGAGAAGAACCACCCCAGGGACAGCCTTCTTGTGCAGCATGAGACAATTACTGGAACCTCACAGGTAGGAAGCATTTAAATAATTGCACATCTGTTTCCAAATCAATCCGTTTGCCTTTGAGAATGTGTCTTGTTTTCAACAAACAACCCACACTCTTGGGTTCTACTGGATCTTTTCCTTTTTTTTCTGACAAAAGAGAAGAAAAAGTAGATTTACTATTATCTGCTTTGACTGACAGATAGTACTCAGCAAGTAATTACAGCCACACTACCTGCACATTGCCAGCAACCTATGTTGGAAGAGAAATGTCTTCTGAGGGAAGGCGACTGGCACTTCTTTTGAGATGTGGACAAGATTCTCAATTAAACCACAACAGCCTGGCCCTCTTCTCTTCTCAGCTCTCCATGCAGCACACTGTGGTGATGCACAATTATCTGTGAGCTCCTGGAGAAGCTCTCCAGGTGTGCCCTCCAGCCCCACAGCCTGCTGCTGGACACTGAGGGGCAGCTGCTCCCAGGCTCACATCAAGCAGCTCATCCCACACCAGCTGCTGGCAAAGCGCTTGATCAATAACAAAATAAAAGTGGAACCACTCCTGTGATTAAGAGTCAGTTCATGATTTAAATATGATGAGTTTATCCAAGATTGCACTAAGTATTTAATGAGTGAGCATGACATGAAATAAAAGTGTTGCACACAAGTCAAAAACCCTCAAGCAAGCAAGCAAGATCAAACTCAACATCTGCAGCTTAGTCAGGAACAGAAGAACTTTGTTTCTCTAATGCTAGAAACGCCACTGGAAAATTTATGATTGCTTCCAAGGGGTCTTATTCATCATTATATTTGAAAGAAAAGAAATAAAAGTGCTGTAAATAAAATAGCACTATTGTTAAGGTACTGTTTAGATAGATCCAAAAGGGAATACTTAAAGAACACTTCTAGCATAAATCAAGTACAACCTGCACTGCCAGGTCACCAAATTGTATTTTTTGGGAAATGTATGTAGGAATTCACAAGAATTCCAAAGTAGCTGTCTCCCTACCTCAAAATCCTTCTCTTTGAAAAAAGTATTTGTTTTAAAGCACTGGATGAATTAGAAACCTGTTAAAAGCTCCAGTTCAATTTGGAACCATTCACAGACCAATTTAATAATTGGGAACTGTGAAAGAGTCTCTTCATTGCTGTACTCAGGTGGGAAGGTTCATCAAGAGGGCTTCACATCTGTGTTTGAAGCTGGATAATTGCATTACCAGGGCACCACCACTTCCTTGCACCTGTTTTAATTAATCAGCTAAGAAGGGCACCTGTGCCAAGAGTAACATCTCTGGTGGTGGAACATGCCTGTGGGGCAGCCTGTCAAGCTTGCCCTCAAAACAGGGCAGAAATGAAGGGTTAATTCCTGGTAACCTCAATTTCTGCCTTAGGATTCATTACAGTTTGTCCAACAACATTCCTTGTTATGCATAGGGTAAATATAAGTACAAAATCCTCATTAACTCTGATACATGTGTTGTAACAATTAAAATCACACTACAGAAACCTTACTGCAAATATATTTTTCTTTATCAAAGAACCTTTGTCCTGATTAGAGTCAGAACAAAAGAAAAAAATGCAAGCATAAGATTAATTACCCTGAAACAGCAAAAATCTCACATTTGATTATTGCAAAACATTTTGATAAGGCAATGGAGCAATCTTTTTTCTTAATCTCCCAATATTGTGACTTATTTCTATAAATGTTGAGTGGACCAACAAATGATGATTGATTTGACATTCACCAAGAAAAATGAGATATGTGCTAGGTTTCCTTCCCAAAAGAATGAAAAATATTTGAGATTCACGTCTCACGGAGAGCACAGACATTCAGCCACACAAAAAACTTTCAAGCTAGGATGGAAAACAACTGCTTTAAAACATGAGAGAAGTTGAGCAAAGAGAGACAAATGGGCAATTTCCTCAGCCACTGCATGGAAACAGCACCTTCATCTGTTTATATTTCAGCCTCGGTACAAATGTGATGTTAATGTACCTAAAATTCAAATGCCAGAGATGGCTCTGAAAGCGAGGACAATCCTCAAACTCCCTGAACTGAGTGCTACCATAGGTTTCCATACTATGGGAGGCATGAAATTCAACTTCCTCACAACTCTCCACACCATGCCAAAGTACATTATTGAGATCCTTTCTTCTTCTCTTTGGACAGATTGATAATTCTTCCAGAAACTGCACCAAATACAGCATGAGCTGCTTCTGTAAGGAAAAATCCAAAAGGAAAGTGCTATTTCTTATTGACACAAAACAGGATTTGCAAGTAGGTGTTCAGAAGCAAAAGCCTTTTAAGCCAGACTTGTGCACTCTTTTTCCACCCTGATGACACCTATGGCTTTTCAGAAGTAATTGCTCACTCAATATGAGCATTAAAAAATAAAATAAAAGAGGCACAGAGTTCTCCATTCAACATAAGCTTAGGGAAGTGGCATTTTAAAAAATCTTTGCAAGTTCAAAGTAAACCTTTTAAGCCTTAAAGAGAAAAAGTCATTTCTGTTTATCAGCCTATTAATGTTCCTTGTTCCACATCCCAGTGAATGAGATGCCAACATATTTCTGTTCTGAGCTGTTTGAGACTCTTCATTTTTTGCTCTTCCCTTCTGTAATCCACTTTAATGCAATCTTAATGATAAAACTTCATTTTCCAGAATATTCTTTGAGAGACTGAGAACAATGAGGGCACACAGTGAATACTGAAGCTATAAGATACATTTTAATAATCTCCTTCAAAAATGACAAAAGCAGCCGACAGCTCCCCCCCGCCCCCCAGTGATCCATAAAACATTATTTTAATCATTCCATCCTTTCAGTAGCCAAGTTACCACCTCAGAGTTACTAAAAAAAAAAATAAAAAATAAAAAAACAACGAGGAAAGCACACAGGATGCCAGAGCCAGTCTGTGTGTGAAGCTGGGAGGAAAACAAGGGGTCCACAGCGACAATTAGAAGAGGAACAGTGTCTGGGTCATGTTGCAGCTCAGCTGAAGATGAGACACGTGTACCTACCAGGGCCAGCTGTCAGGAGGGAGAGCACATCAAAGAGAAAAGCAGAGTGTGATGGGAAGAGCAGCGAGGGAGCACAGGGGAGAACACGGTGACAGTGCCAGCGCACACCGCGCTGAAAAGAAAAACGCGCTGCAGCCGTCGGCATCCTCTGTCAGAGTGCACAAAAAAGGGTTAATGCAGAAGCTAATGAGGCAAAAAGGAGCAGGGGAAATTGTTTTGTAGCAAGACATTTGGATGAAGGAACACCCGCTCCTGAAAGCTGACAACTCGCAGGCATCTCAATGAATCCACGCGTACGCGCAAAAACCAGACTGGAAACTGATAAACACAGGGCTGAACAAAAACGTTATTTTCATTCCAGTTCCTCCCCCACAGGTTTTCTGAACAAACACAAAGGTATAAGCAAAATCAGAGTCACTCCAGCATGTCTTTTATTTTCCAGGGGATAGCAACAGGACATCCCTGCCTGTGCTCTCCCTCAAGGATTCTTCCAACCTCAGCCTCTGCCTAACCTGCCTCAGTACCACCCAGGATGGGAATTAAAAAGGAAAAACAGAAGGGAGAAGATGAAAACAGTTTGACTTAAATAGGGACAGAACACAGGAAAGAAAAGGTGATGCTTGGCAAAACAGAAAAATATCCATCCCATGTTAAAAAGGGAGAAAACTGATCCATTACAAAATGCTGCTGAAAAGACTGAGTGGAGCTCTGAGAACACACTACAGATGGAACTAGCTTATTGAACTAGCCTGAACTAGTTTAACATTTAAGGCAGAAAAACCACCATCAGGAAGAAGGAGAAAATTTTAGTGCTACAAATATTTCAGCTCAAAATTCAGAAGTTTGGGTGCTAAATTTTTACTGCAATAAGATTGGCATCTCTTTCTGCTTCCTTTCTTCTTCACAGACAGAACTGTGGCTATATGGAAGCCTGCCCTGCCCTCAAATCCTGCCCTGCCACTGGGACTGTGGGGGCCAACAGGTCTGTGTTGTCTATTTGCTCACTATATTCAGAAAGAAAAATGATACAAAATATGAACATCTTTAGCAGAAGTTATCACAGGGGCTATATTTTATTTAAAGCTTTAAAAGTGTGCCTCACAGAGAGCCCTATGAAATACTGCTACACAAAATACTACATGAAATGGTCTACAGAGAGTTGGTGGGAAAACACTCTTTCTTCTTGCTATTTATTTCTCCCAAGTCCTCAGCAAACATCTGCAAACTTTCTCTTGTATTTTCACACCTTGTATTTTCTCAAAGATCTTTTGTATAACTCACCAGCACCAGGCTTCCATAAATCACAAATCATTCAAAAGTAAACAGATCATACATCATCTTGCTCCTAGACACACAAGGAAGATTCAAATCACATTGAATTTATAATGAGGGAACAACATAAAGAGAATTATTTTGCTAGTGTGGCCAGATGAAATGGGTAAGAAGCAGACAGACATTTGGAGCTTTATTGGTACACTGACAATGTTTTATCTGTGAGACACTATTTAATTTTACTCCCTAACCAGCAGTGTAACTATCAGGCTTGGAAACACAGTTCCACCAAAGTGAGCAGTTAGAGAAAAGAAATAACCCACACTTTCTGCCCCAGCCTCAGTACAATGGCCATAAGTGACTGGCAGGAATTAAGATTCACTGGAATAAATTCACATCGGGCACCCTGAGCTTCCTTTCACTGCAGGGTCAACACACACAGGGCTGTGCTGACAGCAGTGACCCAGAGGAGCCCAACCCAGGAACATTTCCAGCCACACAGCC